TTATTTTTATTTTTTTTTTTTTTTTTTTTTTTTTTTGCTGTTATTATAGTACTGGGGCTTAAACCCAAGTCCTCGTGTATGCCAGGCAAATACTTTACCACTAAGCTTATATCCCCCAGCCCCTCCTGCCTCAGCTTTCTGTTTAGCTGGGATTATAGGTGTGCGGTTCCACTGTGCCCAGCCTAAAATTAACCATCTTCATCAGTTTTAACATGTCCTAGCCAGTTTAAACCACCAAAGATACATGCAGGGATGGTGTAATTGGGACTGTTCCTTGCCACCTAATGAGACTGTTGTGTACATTCCACCAATTGTTCAGAGCCACCCAGTAGCGAGACATATGAATTATTGTGAGCGTGTTAAGAATATAGTTCAAAAATATATATAGTTCAGGTTGTGCATGGTGGCACATGCTTATAATCCTAGCACTTGGGAGGCTGAGGCAGAAGGATTGCCATGAGTTTGAAGCCAGCCTGAGCTACATAGAGAATCCAAGGCCAGCATGAACTGCACAGTGAGACCCCATCTCCAAAACAAAAAACAAAAACAAAAAAATGGTCCTTGTCCCTAAAGTTTTGTATCTCCCTTCCATGCTTTGTTTTTTTCTCCTTGACATCATATTTCTTTTTCATCTATTTTGTTTATTGGCGGCCTCTGCCAATGTGAATGTGAACTTGGTTAGCTCAGTTTTGTAGACCAGAGTATCCCTAGTACTTATGAAGGTATAAAGTAGATGAGTACAGTAGATATTTGTTGAATGAGCAGTGGGTGATGGTGGTGAGAAAGGAAAACAAGTATAAACAATAACAACAAAAAAACGGACTTCATACTGAAATGCTTCAAAGGCAATGATAGCTACATTAGAGTGATGACAGAAGTGGTTGGAATTTGAGGTAAGTGGTCAAGAAATGCTGCTTTGAGGGAGAGATGTTTGGCTCTGAGACCAAATGAGAGAAGGAACCAGATGTCTCTAAACAGAGGGAAAGGCCCTGAGGAAGAAATACTTTAAAATATTGCACTGACTGCTGAATGGTGAAATAATTGGAAAGATGTCAGTGAAGCTTGGAAACTCTGAACCAGTTTAGAGGCTGTTACAGAGGCCTTGCTAGGGCAGATAAGACCCTTGAGTTTGGTGGCGATGGGGCCAATTGAGCGAAATGAATGGGTATGAAGGTTTTGAATGAAGAGCCAGCAGGATCTATTGATGTATTGGATGATGAATTGAGCAGGGGAGTGTGTGGGAAAGGAAAAATCATGAATGACCTCAGCTTTTTGCCTTTAATGAGTGGTAAGATACAGAAGGCTTCGGAAGTAATATTATGAGTCTCGCCAGCTTTGCTTTCATTTTAGGCCCGGTCATTTTCAGATTGCTCTGGTTTCTGTATTTCATAGATACAATCATGTTATTCATGAGTGACTCTTACAGGCTAGGTCCTGAACTGGGTGCTGTAGGTATGAAAAGGATTTCGATGCACTTAAGAAGTTCATTTA